GGAGTTTAAAACATAAAATATTCACTTTTTAAATAAAGGTTTCTGTCAAAATGTTAACTTTTCATGTCATTTTTGGTCAAAAACTGGTAAACTTGCGACTGGTTTTTCTAAAATTATTTTTCAAAATGTATCTTTTCTTGCATGTTTCTCATAAAATTAGGGAATTTGGAGAACATTTTTAGAATTTCTTTTGTAAAAAATGTTTTGTCAAAATGTGAACTTTTCATTTCATTTTTGGTCAAAAACTAAAATATTTTGACGAAAATATTTGCAAAATTATTTATCAAAATGTCATCTTTTCCTGCATGTTTCTCATAAAATTAGGGCATTTGGAGAACATTTTTAGAACTTTTTTTGTATAAAATGTTTTGTCAAAATGTGAACTTTTCATGTCATTTTTGGTCAAAAACTAAAAAAATTTGACGAAAATGTTTGTCAAAATATTTTTCAAAATTTTATACTTTCCTGCATATTTGTCATCCAAACAGTGCATTTAGAGAATGTTTTTAGACATTTGTATTAAATTTTGTAAAAATCTGAACTTCATATTTAAAATGTAAAATGTTTGCCTTTGCCTAAGAAAATACTTTTTTCTAAAAAAAAAAACAAAACTCAAAATGCTCTAATTTGATGAGAAATTTGGTTTTTCAAACTTTTTAATGAAATTTTTTACCTTAGGACTAACCTGAAATGCGAAACTAGAATTTTGAAAAAAAAATCCAAAACATTTTTTCTAAAAAAATCTCAAAATGCTCTAATTTGAAGACGACATGCAGAAAAGGTATAATTTTGAAATGTTGTTTTTCAAACATTTTAATGACAATTCTTCACCTTCGAAGCAACTCGGCATGTGAAACATAATGTTCTAATTTAATGAGAAACACACAGAAAAGATACAACATTTTTTTAAATCATATGAAACTTTTACAATTTATAAATTTTATAAAACATTAGTAGTAAAATTATGACTTCCTGAGTTGAAGTGTATAGGAAATTAGACTGACTGTTCATCTTCTTTCCGATGAGCATATCTGGGGTTTGACTGAACTATGAAGCGGGTCAGGAACCTTTCCTTAGACAAAATCCAATTATTAAGATCTAGTTTATGTTCAATAGATTCAATGGAATCCTAGTAAAAAGTCATACTAGTTTTTTAGTATCTCAAAGCTTTATAGCTTTGAGATACTTAAAAAAAAGTGAACTGTGTCACTGTATTTAAACAAGGACACAAACTACCTTGACGTACAGTATTTCGTGGGAAGAGGCTGAGGACCAGTTTTTATAACTGTGATTTTTTTATTAGAATATTGAACTGTCGTTTTCATACATTAGCTATTTGAAGCTTCACATGCAAACAAACAGGATACATGCACACAGCAGCATATATTTATACTTGTGCTAATATGAAAACCTAAATATTATATTTGCCACTGTGCCCCCCTTAATAACAGAAACAGAACATAGGATATTTTAAGCATGTGTCATGACTTACTGGGCTTAATGTTAAGGTGACCACCTTCAAACTGGCAAAATACGGGATTAGTAGCAGGTTTGAGTGGGACAATGATGCACGGCCGCAATCATTTAAAGCCAAGTAACATGCACGTCTCTCGCCTTTTACCCCCACAAAACAAACAAAACTCTATAGCACCCAAGACATCTTAATTCTTCTTAACATAAAAAAGCAGATACGGTACAACAAAATATGACCTGACGTAAAATTAAACTTTCAATGGTGTACAGAAAAAATACTTCACACATGTTTTCTGTTGTGTACTCGTGTGGTTGTAGTGAGACTCACGTGCATCGTGACGTTTCCCCATCAGATTCACGACCATGCCCGACAGAAAAGTCGTTTTAACACCAATTGCACAATGCTGGTTCGGAATCTCCACACAGCCAAAGGGTGGCGTCTTCTTTTTGTTGGCACACTACACCTGGGCGCCTGCACGGTATCAAAACTGCGCGCTCCACAATTTCAGACGCTGTGTGTGTGAATGCTGCGAGTCAGCAGTTTGATTGACAGACCACTCAGCCTGCTAGCTGCCGCCTTATCCACAAAGTGACCTATCATTGCTATAGACTGCACATAAACAAATAGTTTATTTTCAACTAAGTAATGAATCAAAAAAGTGGGACAAAATCTTCAATTTCCTTGACGCGGGACAAAGGCTAAAACAGCTGTGCTAAAACGAGACAGGTGGTAAACCTACTTTAATGTCCATGTGCACCAGAGATGTGATCTTTGAGTTCCGATGGGGTAACTGAACCGCCTGTCGTTTTCTGCAATGATGTCGGACGGTGTGCCTCCTAGTTCTGTATGACCATGTGGTCATCCACCGCCCATGCTGAGTAGTATCGCACCACATGGGGACGTTGTTCCAGGACGGCATGGGCGTACACCTCCCTCAGGGCGTTCTGTCTGTGAATGAGAAAAAGATTGTTTCAATTATGTCAGCTCTGTGTTTCAGGGACTAGAGAGAGTGCATATATATACTGTATATGCAACATTACAAACGTAAAACAGCATATAACATTACTTTTAAAAGTTTTAGTTAGCTTTTCAGCTATTTAAAGAGCAGAAGTAACAATTAATCTCTTTTTGTAATGTTACTCATTAGCTTACTCACTTATCCAGCCAAAGGTTCCTTTAACACCTAATGGTGTAGATGCAGCCGTCGAGCCTCTTCACACTCTAGAACACAGCACCAATTCTCCACAGCCGATCTTTTCCAGTTCCAGGAACACAGAGTTGTACCGTGGTTGGTGACATACCAAAAAATTCACTTTTTTCTAAATTTTAAGTAAAAAGCCCAGTTTTAGAATGCTTAAGGCAGTTTTTGGGAAACTTATTTTTGAAGACTTATTCACATTTTAAAGCAAATTAGAGCATGTTGATCCACTTTTAGAAAACCTGTGTTTTTGAAGAATTTTTACTCTTAAAACATGTTAAAATGCAAGTTCATTCTACAAAAGCTTTTCCTGTTAAATAATTTGTAGTGAACTTAAAACTTAGAACTTAAAGATCACTACATTTTGTGATGTCAGAAATTGACCAAAACCACTATAATCACTTTACTGCCTGTACACAAATTTTGGTTCAATGCTTTCTAATTGGTTACTGACCATTGACAGGTGCAAAATATTAGGAAACAAACAGCTGAATGACTCATTCTTATCTTTGCTGCTTTTGTTGTTGATATTTGTGTAATATCCTACTTTTAGTAAAAAAAAAAAAAAAAAAAACTTCATAAAATACAGCTTCTTTTGCTTTTTTCACCAAAACAAGTTTCATAAAAAATAAACATATGAATGAGAAAATTTATTAAAACATACAGTATGTACAACAAAGATGTTAGATTTCACAAAAACTGTTGAAAACTCCTACTACGTTAACGAAAGATGTGAAGAAAAAAAAGGAGAAAAATGAGAATCTAAAAAGAATGATTGTTCTAATGCTACAGGGCAGGGTTGGCAGCACCAATCAACAGGCAAAAACCAAAACATGGCTCTATTCTATCAGCAGAGATAATGATTCAATGGTTACTGGTACTTTAAACGTGAAGTATTTTTGGTTAAATAAAAAAAAAATCTTTATCCCATTAACAGAAAGACATTACACCACGGAAGAGGAAGGTGATGAACTCCTGCTACCTAGAAGATAAATCAGCCAATGACCTTTAGTGATCCAACCTGAAAAAGTCCAAACCCTGATACGTACAAACATCAATAGCAGCAGGTTTTTTTTTGTTCTCTTTCTTTCTCAAAAACAAATGTGTCTTGTTCCACATTTTGCCTACAAAGTGCTCATAATAAACAAACTGTCAGTTCGCAGACCCTCTGATACCCAGCATCAGGCGTTTGACAGGCAGTAAGGTGCACAAGGCGGCAGCAAGTACATTCACACTGAAGAGAGCTTCACTGCAGCTTTGATCTGCTGCCAATGGGCTTCGGCTTTGTCGAGAGGGAAGTGCAAAGTAGAGACATGCAGACACTGACATCTACGCAGGAATGAATTCCAGGAATGACAGATAACAAAAGCTACGCAACTACCTTTGTGGAATGAGAGTCAAGTTCTTCGGCAAAAAGAGGCCGATTTTCTTTTCGAGATGAGTTCAAGTTCAGTTTGACAACAGTCTTTAACGGATGTTTTGCTGAACAATGACTCACAGGCCATGGCTACAGACCAGGTTACTGTTAGGTTCCATCAGGAGATTTCCTGTTAGAGTTTAAGTTTTAGTAGATGGTCAGACTAACCGACCGGTTCATCTTTTTCCCGATGAGTCGGGTGGATCTGGGGTTTGACTGAACTGTAGAACGGGTCAGGACCCTGTCCTTTGACAACACCTTCTCCTCAGCTGCAGCCCGGGCCAACTGAGCTTTCTTCAGCTCCCTGCAGAAGACAAAACAATTTAGGTAAATCATAATTAACTTGTGGCGTAGCTGTAGTAAACCTCAATCCAAATGACAAGTGTCTAAAACCACCACGACAAGAGAACAAAAGAGAAAGAAAAAAAGAGATCAGACTTACTTTTGTAGCAGAGCATTCTTAAACTTCTCAGCATTGAGTTCAAGTCGCAGCTGATCTGCACTCATCCTGGCAGCAGTGAGGAGAACTGGATGTTTGATGAGGTCTGACGCTGATGGTCTTTTGCTTGGATCTGGGTGAATCATGAGCTAAAACAAGACAAACAATAAATTACCAATGATGTTAACAAATAAAATTAATTTAGATTCTGACCAAATGTAGTTTCCTAACAGGAGATATCAAGGCTAGACATGTAATGATGTTCAGTACAAATATCAAATTGTTATTTATTTGTTTTCAACCCAATGCCACTAAAAAACAATGTCTTTACAGCATTAAGATACTTTACTGAGAAAAAAACAAATATGAACCTCACAGTATTTTATGAGCACACAGACTACACACAATTAATGTAAATGCAACATTTAACAGTTTCAAATCTGGTATGAATAACAACAGAATTTGACTCTGCCCTTCTATCTACTTTAAAAACTTGCAGTATTGTATTGAACCTCACCTTGAGGAGACCTAGGAATTCCAGCGAAAGGACTTGAGGGATACTTGGGAGTTTTCCTTGACGTATTTCGTGCCATTTCTCTCCATTTGTGGGAAGAGGCTCAGCACCAGCGGCACTGACTATGGTCAGAGCCAGAGCGAAGATGTCCGCCTTTGTTAGGTCACTGTAATTCTAGAAGATGAAAGAACAAGAGGATGTCAGAGAACTGTTGTATAGTTTTAAGTTAAAAAAAAGTGCTGAAACATTTCTACAAACCTCTTGTAAAACTTCATTAGCCAAATATCTGCTGTCCCCCTCCTCCACTTGTGGATTATTCACTCTGGTCACATGACCTAAATCACCTGGTGTTAAAAAAATAAAAGCACAAACATTAAGTATAAATAAATAAAAAATAAACAGACATAAAATAGACATAGCTTAGGTAAAGAAGAATTTAAAAAAGAACTGTGGAGGATGTTTACCAATTTTGTAGACCACACTGGTCGTCGGTCCTTCATCTTCACATTCATCACAGCTCGTCACAGATTTACGAGAAATGAAAATATTGCCTGCAAACGATATGCACACCAACATTAGTCATGTACACATATCTGACCTTTGTCTTTACTTTGTTTCCCTGCAGCACACAAACAACTTCTAAAGTTCACAAATCTCCTGTCACAGTTTTTATAACTATGGTTTTTTTATTACAATATTGAAATGTCACTTTCATACAGTTGATATTAGAAGCTCCACATGCAAACAAACAGGAGACGTGCACACAGCAGCATATATTTATACTTGTGCTAATATGAAAACTTAATATTATTAATAATATTAATAATATTATTAATATTATATTTGCCACCCTTTAATAACAGAAACAAAACATAGGATAATTTAATTTTTTTATAAGTCATGACTTACTGGGCTTAATGTCCATGTGCACAAGAGATGTGGAATGGATGTACTTCAGCCCTTGTGCCACTTGGAGCAGCAGATCTTTGAGCTCTAGTTCGGAGGGGTAACTGAGCCGCCTGTCGTTTTCTGCAATGATGTCGGACAGTGTGCCTCCGTTGCAGTACTCGTTTTGTATGAGCATGTGGTCATCCTCCGCCCATGCTGAGTAGTATCGCACCACATGGGGACGTTGTTCCAGGACGGCATGGGCGTACACCTCCCTCAGGGCGTTCTGTCTGTGAATGAGAAAAAGATTGTTTCAATTATGTCAGCTCTGTGTTTCAGGGACTAGAGAGAGTGCATATATTTATATATGTTTTGTATGGTTATATATATAAAACCATACAATATATCATACAAATGTAAAACAGCAGATGACATTACTTTTAAAGTTTTAGTGAGCCAATTCAGCTATTAAAGAGCAGAATTAACTATTTTTTGTAATGTTAATCATTTAACTTACTCATCCACTGATCCAGCCAAAGGTTTCTTTGACCTCTTAATGGCATAGATGCAGCCGTCGAGCCTCTTCACACACTTGAAAACAGCACCAAACTCTCCACAGCCGATCTTTTCCAGTTCCAGGAACTCTGAGGTGTACCGTGACATCATGTTGCTTTCCATCATGGTGATTCTCTAGAAGAAGCCATTCAACCATGATATAATTGAACATAATATACACTGAGGTTTTACATGGTAAAATATAATCATAATAATTATAGTGATTAGATGACTACGGTTGGTCAGGGTGGATGCTACAACAATAACTTTTAAGTTCTACTCACACCAAGTAGAACTTAAAACATCAATGACTACTTGAACACTAATGTTACACTAAACATATTAAAAAAACACAGATGTTGATTAATTCACTTTATTGTACTAATACATTTTATAATAAATGAAAAAAAGTAGTACTTCGAATATTTTACCTTTGAAGGTGGCAGAAATGCATAGTCTCCTTCACCATCACTGGCCTCCATGTCTTCTCCACAAGAGCTGAAAGATCAAACGCAGTTTATTAGCATTCTGTACAGCAGGGGGCAGCACCGGGCTCCTCACAGGCACATGGCAGATTTCACCATCAGGTAACCATGAGGTCTTGATTCCCAGCCAAAACTCAAGTTCCTACTCAACGGCTTTAACGAACTAGGCCATTATAACAATGGGTTTTTGCTATAAGCTGTTAAACACTGCCATTAAAGTTATTAGTCCAACTGCTGCCTCATTTTTGTAAGACCAAAGATCAAGTTATGAAACAACAGCTGCTACTCTTAGTAGGACATGTGACCACAACATTATCTGCAGCATCTCCTCTTTCATAAAAGTACAGTACAAGTGCATCTAAAGACAAAGGTGTTCCTAATAAGACAACAGGACACAACATTTGGTCAACTTACTCATCCCAGTGTGCCCTCTTCCTATTGTTCCTCTGCTGTGTGACTGACTGGATGAGGATGGAGTCGGGGGTGAAGGGGTTAAAGTTGACCACAGGGGTCTGTTGCCTCCTGCTGCTGTTTGCGATTGACTTTGCTGTGGGTTCTACATTCTTGAAGAGAGCAACTCTCCTAGTGGAAGACCCAGTGCCAGTCCTGGCTCTGGACAGCAGACTCTGTGGAAGACAGATTTAGTGCCGTGTTAATTTAGACATATGGCAAACAAATGTCACAAACAGGACTTTAGGTTGATTTCAGTTATTTAGTGTACATATTTTACTTTTGAAAAAAGTTTAGTGTTTTCACAGTTAAACACTGCTGCAAAAAGTGAACTACAAACTTTCAGTTTCTGTACATTTTATTACGTGGCCATTATGATAAATGCTGTTATTTTATCAATTGGCTTAACCTAATCAATCAACCACTGACTTCAAGGGAATAGTCTAAATAAATTCATTAAGTCAATAAATACTGAATATTATATTTTCCATTCTGAATATTAAGGGTAACAACGAGTTGTGAACAAAAATAATGCCGTGTAATTCAGAAAGCCAGTAAGTAAAACGAGAACATGTCCAGACATAAAATCCTAGGTCAACACAAAGACTACAGTGAGAATTATGCAACAAGTATAGTCAGTCATAAAGTAGGTCACTAGGTCGATAACTGACACAGCAATTTAAAAAGTTTGAGGTGTGCAGTTAGAGTAGACCTGCACAACATCAATTCAAGATCAACATCAACAAGAATTTCAAACAATATCTACAACATGCAGAAGGTTATTAACGGATATTTTCATTCCAATATCTACAACATGCAGAAGGTTATTTTCATTCAAAAACGTACGGCAAAGCACTGTTCGCCAGTGGGTCTGTTACTACTGGTCGTGGTCAACGAACTGTATTTAACTGATGACTAACAGTTTTGAGTACGTCGTTTTAGTTGTAGCCTATGCAGTTTACACTTAATTCGAAGACGTGTGGAAATATCACATCTGGGACATTAGGTAGACTTATAAATGTTTTTATACAAAATGTTTTTTTTTCCCATACGATTTGTCGATTGTTCTACTATGTTAGATTAAAGTAAGATGTAAACATTCAATGTTAGATAACTTGACTAAAAGTTGAATTAAGATGATAAATCAGATGCATGTTCTTGATATTATTAAGTTTAAGACAATAATAAACCAACGAACCTTTGGTGTGTGTGGTGTGTCAAAGAGCCGCAGTTTTCTGAAGGTCTTGTGTGGAGGAGTATCTGGACAATCTGGGATCGGGGAGCTGGATCCCTCCCCGTCGTCCTGGACGTAAGATGGCTCGGGTGAACCGCCGTAAAGCCTAGAAGATTTTCTTGGTGATGGTGAACAATTGGCAGAAACTACCCTGCCGAGGGACCGGGGGTAAGATGGAGAACCAAAGCCTTCCTCGTCCCACAACTCCACTTCGTCTTCCTCGACCGAGCGATTCAGAGGGCTGCTGTCTAGGCGCTTGTCGTCCGAGTCCCGTCGCCTTGGCATGGGTGAATCAATCTCCGTGAAGCCGGATTCTCCCCCGGTACTGTTGTTTACGTCCTCAATGGGATCGTCCTCTCCGTCGCTGGACGCGAAGAGTAGTTTCTGACGAATCAGCGGCATCTTTGGTGAAGGAGATCCTCGTCGATGGCGACTGTATGTCGACATTTTCCTGATTTAAACCCCAGCGACGTCGACGATCGAATCACGCGCTGTGGATTCCCACTATAACCGCAGCAGTGAAAGCTATCAGATAGAAAAGAGAAAAATAAACTTCCAATACCTTACAATAAGGTACCGCCAAACAAAAACAAGGCAAAAAAGCCAACAAGTCCGTTAACTTCCAGGTGGTAAAGTTTAGGTCCACACGCCCACCAACCGCTGAATAATGGCAGAGAAGTTTGACTGAGTTCGCCGACAGATTACGTTTACAGTCGACGTTAAAATTGAATACTACTCGGTCAAGTCGAGTATCACTATGCGTCACTGCCTTCTTGGTAAAAGTAAAGTCGACAATGAGTCACGTCTTTCCGAAATAAAAGCTATGTTTACACTTAAGTTTGAAAGAGTCGAGCACTCTTCTTCTTCTTCCTATCACGCGCGTGGCAATAGCCTTCCCGCGACCGTTGGTCATGTGGTTTGTAGCAGCCAATCGAAGCGCAGTGTGAAAGTTTAAAAGAGGGGCGTTCACGAGAGCAACAAGAACGAATGACGTCACTCGTGGCTCAGAAACAATATGGCGCGAAGACGGCATGAGTCGGGCTGACAATTTAACTTCAGGACAATAAGTCAATTACAAACGCGTTACCGATCACAAGCAGTCACAAAACAGGGGTCAGAGCCTAAAAGAGACCGCGCCTCCCAGAGTTTGAGCTCAGATTTAAGCAACATTCCTATTGATTACAAATTCAGAATTAGGGTTCTGGCTTTTGGATTTTAAAATGGCAGTTGAGATACGTGGTATCCCTTATGTTTTTAAGTCAGGACCGAATTGTGAGACTGATGTTAAAAAATTGATAAGTCAGAATTATTCCTACTGTCTCAGAATTCACCTCTCTTCCTTAGACTTATATTTTGTTTAAAATAAACTTTTATAGACAAAATCTAATTTTAAATCAAAATAAATTTAGTTTGTTTTAAATTTAGTAACAGTCGGTAAATATTAAATATGATATTTGTTAACTTTAAGTAGGGAAAACATTTACATACCGAAGACATTTTAAACTTCATTATCAGTTAAGACTGAAAAACAGATATTTTTTTTCATTAAATACTTCTGAAAAAACTTTTTTAAATCTAACTTTTAACTTTGTGGAGAAAGACAAGGTTTCAATCTTTTTGCCACTCAGAGTTTCAACATCATTCTTCCAATTACAAAAATGGATCACAATATTTTTATTAGAAATATCATTAGCTGTACACTGCACTGTACACTGTGCAAGATAAACACAAGAAAGCTTTTGCTCCTCTCCCATTTTAATGGGTGAGGGACAAAAAAGCATAGTAGAGATCCAGTTATCAAAATTCTATTTACACATAAAAGCTAGGCTCATCTGCGGGGGAGGGAGAAGGAGGAACACTTATTTTATTTCTTCTTGATACAATCCAATTGATGGCTTTAATAGTCCATGATGAGTGCATTAATCATCAAGGCCTGGTGACTCTCCTTGTTGTATTCTTGATGCTATTCTTATGGCTTCCTCCAGTGAAGGCTGATCACTGAGCTGCAGAGGAGTGAGAAAAACAATGCGTATTAAGGCAAATGCTGATTAACATGTCACCTGATGAGTGTTACCTGATCTCTACAACTGATTATATCTATTTACACTCGACTTTTAGAGTAAATAGCAGCTAGACTTTGGCTTTAAAAGAGGTGTTAGAGTCCTGACACCTCTTTGAAAGCCAAAGACTCAGCTTGTTTCTTGGCTGAGTGGTGAGCAAACGGTCCGGCTGTGTGACTTACACGATTTACCTTGTTTTACATAATTAAAAATGAGCAGTCATCTAACCTGGAAACTTTTCAGCAAACAAATCTCTTAGAAGTTCTAAACATAAGTACCCAAGACAGAATAAAGATGAAATACTACAGTATGTTAAACTGTTTTTATGTGGCAAACACACTGATCCATCACATGGGTGGTATGAGGTGTGACTTCTACTAATAATGACAGTCACTGGGTCTCCATGTTACTAAAATCACTAATAATCAAAATAAAAAGCCTATAAATTACTATTCATTGAGTAATGATTCCTTTGAATTGTTTATTCCTTGAAAGAGTGATTTGACAATTTTTAGTTTCACTGTGAAACCAAATCAAATGCAGCAGTAGGAGACCAGACACACCTACACCGAATGAAATGAATCCCACCTACATGTGATTAAAGTATTTAGATGAAGGGTGGGGTCAGAGGTGTGATAATGCGTTTGGATGGGTGGAGTCTCCATTAAGTTGCCTTAAAGTCAGACTGAAACTCGTATCAGTATCATGTAAACAAAAACACTTCAAAACCTGTTGCCTTTTTTTGGCCATGATACAAAGCAGCAGCCACTTTTTTTCATACCAACCTGTACAGCGATGTGAGTGCCATTAGATGTGGCCAGTAATGTGACAGGATGAAGGCCATCCTGATCCTGGCTGTATCCTGCCTCTTCCACCGTCTGGAACGTTGTCATGTCAGGGGTCATAATGGCCACCTGGGGGAGACATGGCACATAAGGGTGTATAATGGTCAGCCATTTGCCAAATTTTGTCTTTGTTTAACATAAATTTACAGATTTCTAATGTATGTTTGTGTAAGAAAAAACCACTAATGTACTTTTTGTTATATTTGTAAACTTGTTTGTCTTGTAAGGACTCTGTTTAAAATTTCTGTAGGTATATTTTCTGTAGATTGTAGGATTATGAATTGTCACTAAATATCTTGTGTTTTTGTAAACAATGCTGTTTTTATAAACTCACATTTTTTATCTGAAGGAGAAAAAGTTTAATCAAATGCCAATATGGACTAAATCTAAACATGAACTTCTGTGACAAAGTACAACACAAAGTAAATTATGCCATGCTAGATACCCCTCCCATTCAACAGTTGTTACCTGTTCATCTGAGCCGTCTGTCGTTACCATGGTAACCGAGTGGGCCCCTTGCATTGCCAGTTCATGGGCTGGGATGGTTATGGTTGTGCCTTCTTGTGTTACCATGGTGATAGTGCCACCCATAGCTTGTAGGTCTGCTTCAGAGATACTGACCTGACATGGGACACAACCCTATATAAACAACCAGAACTTTATGCAACAGAGACACTAAACTCGTCCCATTGGAATTTGTGACAAAGAAAAATGACTTAAGGTTGCTGCCAATAAAAATGTTTTTTAATTCACATTATCTACTCATCTATATCTGCTTATTCTGGTAGTCACAGACAATTGATGACAATTTTCCAAGTTTATCGTGGAAAGGAACAGAGATGTATCCAAGTGTCATCAGTGACCACCTGAATGTATGGTTTTCTCACACTAGGATCTTTACCTGCTGCTGTGTCCCGTCCTCCTGTTTAACCAAAGTTATTTGTTGCTGACCACTCATGTCTGTGCTCTCTACCGGAATCTGTTCTGAGCCAGAGTCGTCACCTTCAACCACTGTTGCTGAGTAGTTCACATTAGGATCATCAATGGCATCTGAATTAACAGTGAGAAAGTTTACCTGTCAGTATTCCACTCTATTAAACATTAATTTATCTCCAAACCATGTATATTTGCTTGGATTAATTTTTTTAGAATTGTTTGTTTAGTTTTGCTTAACCTTCTTAGACTCCTAAAACCTGGCTTACTTTCTTGCTGTGCTACTTCTATACAATGTTTAATTGAATTATATACTGTACATCTCACAGCTGTTGCAATGTATCTGACCTGCTGGTGGTTCAAAGTACGCCTCCTGCTCCTCCTCGATGGGCTCTGTGTCGTTATGGGCTGTGCGTTTGTGCATAGCCAGTGTAGAGATCTGTTTGTAGGTTTTGCCACAGTGGTTGCAGTTGTAAGGTTTGCAGGGCGTATGTACAACATGGTGTTTGTAAAGGCTGGAATATTCTGTAAAACGTTTTTCACACCCAGGTACTGTGCACACGTATGGTTTCTCTCCTGGAGGGACAGAAAAGTACTTTGGTTAAATGAAACAACAGATAAGAAAAGTCTTCACTTTGACTTTGCACCACAAAAACCACTAACACAACAACCACTAGAATCATTGATTATTGGATCACAGGATTACTTATTGACCCATAAAGACACAGGTGTGAACTAACTCACCAGTGTGAATCCTCATATGGTTCTTGTAATTTGTGGCACTGGCGAAGGATCTTCCACATGTGGGCTCTGAGCAGTAGTACGGCCGCTCACCAGTGTGTGTTCGAATGTGAACTTTACGGATGTTAGAGGTGGTGAACGACCTGCCACAGCCATCTACTGGACATTTGAAAGGCTTTTCTCCTGAAAGATAAGAAATGCAACACCAAAGTTTTCATTTCATGTATATATTTGGAGTTACTGAAATGTCTGCAAATGTCACATTTTAAAAGCAATTTAAAATTCTAAAATGCTGAACAACTTCTGATAGGAAAAATAACAGAAACTAATGTTTACCTGTGTGAGTCCTTGTGTGCTTCTGAAGATCACCTGACGTTTTAAAGGACTTGCAGCAGTTCAGTTCCTGACATCTGTATGGCTTCTCTCCTGTGTGTGTGCGTGAGTGACTCTTCAGTCCATAGCCTGAAAAAACATTTAATAAAAAAAAGATATTCAGCTTTGCATTGTCAGTCATTTATCACCAGCACAGCCACAGGAGTTTGATTCTGTGATCATATGACATGAATGTGTCAAGGCATCAATTAGGAAATGACGTGCAACAGTGAAAGGTTAACACAGCGTAGTATCAATAGTACACTGGTACTGTGTGTTTTTGGTATTTCTGCCAAACATTCTCCACAGCTACCTGTTGCAAATTTCTTTCCACAGCCATGAAAGTCACACATGTACGGTTTGTGTCCAGTGTGTGAGCGCTCGTGGACCTGTTAGAAGCAAAGACAACAGTTGTTTACTTAGAACTGTCATCACCTTAACATATAGTCTTAATGAAAACTTGAAACAACAACAGAAATAAAATCACATGACCACAACACCCAGACGCACTTTCAGATGGTGTGCAGTTGTGTACAGTTTTCCACAGCCTTCATATTCACAACGGAAAGACTTTTCCCCGACATTCGTGACTCGCGCTGGTCTGTTGTCTTGACCCTGTAAAACAATCTAAAAAGAAGAACGAATTCGATGTTAACATCGGGTTCAGAAAACTGTCAGTTGTGAACAAAAACTAAAGGAAATGTACCCTCATGTGGACACCATTGTCTGATTCAACTCTACTGAATGAGCCTAATGTGTTTTCAATGTTCTCCACCTGGAAGAGAGAAACACAGACACTGGTCAAAGAACTAGAATGGAAAATTTGAAATTGAAATGCAAAATATATGCATCTTGTGTGAAACTAAAAGTTTATTTGAAAAGGAATCATCAGGCATTTCAATTCTAATAACAAATAAATAAAAGTCTTCTTTATCAAATGATAGTGAGAAGTGAAACATATCAATGTAACTTAGCTTTAAGCAGAAAATACAGACAATCAAAGCAAAACAAATGTTAGAATCCTATGCTTAGATGCAGCTTGTTGTTTAAATTGTTTTTAATATTGTGTCATTAGTAGGATATGCTTAGATGCAGCTTGTTGTTTAAACTGTTTTTAATATTGTGTCATTAGGCGTCCAACACTAACCTTGGTGGTGTACTGCTCCAGCACACTTATTGTCTCATGGTCCAGGGCTGTGGCCTCAGTCTGCAGGTCCGCAATGGTGCCGTCAGCCTGGATGGCCAGGATGGTGTTGGACTGGGGCATGTGCACCGTGTGCTGGATGTAGGCTGTGCTGCCGTCCTCCAGCTGGACTTCCTGCAGACCACCCTGGTCATATGTATCTGCAGAAAAAAAGAGGAAAAGAGGAAAGGAATCAAGACTTTGCAAGAGGTAAAAGCTGATACTGTGAAAAGCTGACCTTCTCTTACAGGAGGAGAGTACACCCTAATATTTGCAAACATTAATATGATTTTTACTGTAAACTTAGTTCTTAATTTATCTTAAACATCTTTAAAATACCTTAAAAGAAAACACAGAGTGTAGAATACAGTACACATCAACAATGTTGTTCTCTGTGCGGTATTCACTTCTGACCTGACCATTAGTAGCAGATAAAGACTCATCCAATTTAAGAACACTAACTTTTCCCCCTTTACCTTTGGGTGTGTGAATGTAAGCAGTTGTTCCATCTTCAAGCTGAACTGCCTGTCCATCTTCAAGCTGCAAACTGTCTGGACCTACATAGGAAAAAAATAACATGAGGCATGTGACACCAATGTGAAAGTGTATTTTTAACCATGTCTTTCTTTTTAAACACTGGACCTACATAGGAAAAAAATAACATGGTTGAACATTGGTTGAAGTAAAACACTCACAAAGCAAATACATTCTGTATCCATGCATGTCTGTTGATATTAAACAATTTATATTAACTTTCAATCCATTTTAAGTATGTTGACGTGGTGTGCGAAGTTTTTCTTACCTGCTTTAGGCATGGACACATGCTGAACGTAAGCAGCGGAGCCATCCTCCAGTTGGATCACCTGACCATCCATGATCTGTCCATCTGAAAACGAGGCTTTGGACTCATGTTGGATGTAAGCAGTGGATCCATCTGCAAGAGTAACAGCCTGTAGGCTCACTGTGTCCATGCTCTCCATCTGGTCGCCATCTGCAGACAGGACAATTTAGTCATTGCATTGTCTTTATTGATTTTCTGCAGGATAATACATTAACATTACATAACATTTTAAAAATGTTCTTTGTACTCTGTTGGAAGGATTTTTATATGATTGAAGTCTTTAAGCTGATGGCTGTACTCACAGTGATGTCTGTGGTTAGCACCTTTTCTGCAGTGCACATTTTGCTACTAATGTTTTTTTTTGCATTGATATTTTTTGCCAAGTTTTTACATTTAAGAAAACCTTCTTTGATTGCCCTAATGATTCCCTTAAAGGTATTTTATCTTTCTATCATGTATTTACAGCAAAATCTTTGCCATGGTCTCTGGTTGATCACCCATGTGGAGGTCAGATGTACTGAAAATTTAACTTTCCTTTTAGAATGTGGTAGCATCTTATTTATAAAACCTTTTTAATGTATGAAGTTGAAGATATCAGTGTCTTTTATACTGAGTTCGTCTGTCAGACCATTAAGATGACTAAAGATCAGCATCTCACCTCCAACAGCTACAGCCTCTGTCAGACACAAAGTGACAGGCTGACCATCTGCATCATGAAACTCTGCCATTCCCTGCGAGTCCCGGTTTATCTGGGCCAGGAGCATGCTTTAGCTGCCGGGATTTAAAAAAACATGCAGAAAAAATACATTAGCACCTATAAGTAACTGAGAATGCAACTCATGCTGTCATGCTACTCCCGAATGTAAATGTAAAAAAAAAAAAAAACTGAACTGAAATAAATTCATTTTTATACGGTGGGCATTTACCATTACAATCAAGGCCCAAGTTTATTCAATGTATTTTATTGATTTCCCAATTATTGTTTAAAATATATTTTATAAGAATCTCAACTTCCACAATGTAAATCCCAAGGCTTGCACAACAAAATTATTATATTATTAAAACTTACATTAAATACTTATGTTGGTTTATAAAACAAAAAATAGCTTTTCAATGTTTAAATTGGCAATGCAACGGACGTATATTGACTCAATATACGTCTGTTGCATTGTCAATATTATTGACACAAATCAAACTGTCAAGCCACAACGTTAGACAAATGCAGATAAACACACAGATTTACTGGTATTTAAATTTATTTAGGGTTAGGGTTACGTATGTGAGTTCTATAACTGAAAAAAACATTCCATACACTATGAATGAATGATACGATAAAATAAAACTAGCCTCGATTAAGGCTAGCTAAAACATAATTTTAAATATTATAACCAGACCGTGCTACACTATCAACGACCGCTGTTGTTTTGGCGCTTGTTGATTTGAAAGCATACTGTCTGATGCTAATGTGCTAGCTGTTGATATGCTAAAATGTAGCACATTTGTTTTCACTCAATTGTTACTGGTAAATTAAACAGAACATAAAAGGCGTGTACAGCTAATATCGGTCCTTAACAACAGTAATGGCAGCTGACTTCGTGTTTTTAACGCACTGTCATAACAGAGCTAGCCTGTTAGCTCCGTGGAAGTAGCGGTAAATATACATATGCAAACACTTTTACTTCTTAAAGCTGTAGTTATTAAACATATTTCCTACAAATACCAATAGTATTATGGTTCTGATTTGGATTATGTCTTAAGTTCTGCCAGTGTTTAGCAGTCGAAGCGGCAGCCAACTATTTCTATGAAGCTTCAGGCTGCTAAACTAGCAACAGAGTTCGAAAATAAGAGCAAGGAACTTAGCAAAGAAACGATAACATAAGCATTTTGGCCCCATCAATGACACTTTTTAATGCTAAAACTCGATTTTCCAGGCGTGTAAAGGGCTCTGTCTTAGCCAGTTCCGAACACCTCCTCGACGAAATGGCTGTGAGAATAATGCACACTGGGTAAAAACCAATTTATAAACTAACCTCCGAAAAATTTCCAACAATTCCTCCTGTTCGACCACCATGCACCAGTGCAGGAAACGCTTCGCGATGCCCGCACGCCGGGAACATGTACAGCAGCACAATCCACAGCCCAACAAACCCCGCCCTTTCATGCGAAAACAGCTGCGATTGGCAAATTACCTAAATTCCATAATTCCATTGGTCAAAGGAAGTGTCGGTTGTTAATATTCCGCCATCGAGTCGCTGTTATTCAGGTCCCCGGGCCCCTAGCAGACGCCATTCCGCGTCAATTTTCGCATTGTTTCAGGCTTTAGACTTAAAATGAGAGGCGATTTCATTGAAAATAAATGTTTTATGCTCACACATGGTGTCGGATGACCGATACTGTGTATTTCCAAGACCTGTGACTCACAAGGTGTGTTTATGCTCGTATGTTTTGCGACGTAAACAGCGACGTGTGAGGACATTTTGGGCGTCCATATTGAAAACAAGGCGATGTGGGAAAAACAGAGGCAATGTGGGCAATGGAGTGAATAGATGTATGGCTGACATCTGTGTGACATGGGCACAAACCATCACAACACACGTGGACTTTACAGGAAAGCAAAAGTAATCATACATTTATTAAACGACACCAAATAATGTGGTAAACACTGACCTGAACGCTTGAATTACTGTTAACTTAACATTAGAAGGAGCCATATTCCATTAACATTAAAAGGCAGCACTTCTCCAAGGAGACATACTTTTACATTGAACCACAGTAGAATAAACTCAATATTTTTTGTGTATTTATAAGAAATTAAGACTAGAGCTATACCTTCTACATGCCTGGGTAAAGGTTTAGAGGGAAGCGATATCAGGCTACAGTGCCTACTGTATATGCACGGCTAGATGTTGCTAAATTCAACACAAAACATTTTTTTAGAACTGGATGTATGGCTATTCTAAAACCTAAAACACATTTTAGGTTTAACAGTAACATTAATAACAATCAGTAGTTCAAATCTCTCATAAATCACACTGATAGTTAAAGAGTAAAAGTGTGCATCGATATATTTCATTATTAAATAGATGAGAGGACACGAGTTTAGTGAGAAAATGTCCTTTCGTCGGAAAACTTGAGAACATTTTAAAACAAGCTCACCTAAGAGGGAGTGTGACACAATATATAAATAAAGAGAGAAAACAAAACAGGCACGAAGTGTAGATCTGTGTGATTCCTCAAAATAAAGGACTGGAATCATGTCTAATGATTCAGATGGTCTCGCTCTGACCGTGGTGTCAGTGGTGACCCACCCACCTTATTTGCAGGCAAACGGCTCCTCCAGCGGCCACAGTAAAGACTGACTGAAAACTGCTCCATGGAAACAAACAACAAGGTTGACTGCAGCTGACTGTGAACAGCGAAAGAGAGTGAGATAATCTGTCGGTAAAGTCCTGGAACTTTATTCGATCTGCTCTACAGTAACAATTGCAAACTTTCAAGGAAAATATTTAAATACTAAGCTTTGTTTTAGGCATTGTTCGTGACAAAACAAAATGCCGTTGTTGTTAGTGAGAGGAGCAGCTACAAATGTACATGAATATTTGATAATAATACATGGCATTATTTTTTTTCTGAGCAACAAAACGGAGAACCTTTACTGAGTAACAAATTTAAATAAGAAAACAAGTTAATGGCGAATATTTAAAATGTGATACCAAAATACGAGTAATTGCTTACACTTAAATGAACACATTGGTTAGAGGTTTAATAGGAAGGTGTCCTAGTTAAGGAAATGAAAGGAATTCTCAGCTTCTTGCAACTATGTTTTCTTTTTGACCATATCATACAATAATATCATAGTGCATTTTTAAAATTGCATTTGTCCTCTATTACTCAGTGGCTCAGTGATTTTAGGATGACCTCCAGGGAGTCTGCAGCTTATGAGGCTGCCCTGGTTGCACTATTTGTGGGTAAAGAAAGCTGCAACGTCACATTTGTCCTGGACACCTCAGAGAGCATGAAACCTATCCTGGGGTCAGTGAAACGTCTGCTTATTCAAACCCTGCTGGCTAAAGCGTCCCTCAGGAATTCTCTCTTCAACATCATGACCTTCTCACATAAGGTGAGGTCTTATGACCGTATAAATTAGTGACGATAGAAAAATAAATTCACCATATGTTAGTCAATTCATGCATGGTCAGCTCAGAAATGAACCACAGATGTATTTGTGTAGGTAAACTGCTGGTCCCAGCACATGCTTCGCTGTGCTCCTGACACAGTGTACACAGCTCTGTCTTGGATCCATTCCATTTGTTGCAGCCCAGGTAGGAATCTTCTTGATGCCCTGACTCTGTCCCTCACTGACCCGCTGTGTCACTGCGTCCAACTGATCATCACAGCCCTGCCTGATCAGCCGGAGTCTGTGCTGAGAGCTTTGCCTGCCCTGTCAGCGGGGAGGCCTGTCAACATTTTCTTTTTGGAAGATACACTTAGTGAGCTGGATATCAACACCCGCCGTTATCTGCAATGCCTCACACAGGCCACACAGGGGAGCTGTTATTTGATTGTAGCAGATCCCAATAAAAAACTGGGAAAGGTAAAAGATTTTTCACTATTAGTAGATACACGTTGTTCTTTTGGTGGCTTTTAGAGAAGATGAACTCGTGAAATAATTAACTTAGATATGCTCAAAGTTGGTGTGTGATATTTCAGCTGATTCCTCTGCATGTGGCTGAGATCCAACCATCAATCATCTCTTCAGTCAAATGTTTCTGTCCATCCTCTTCAATCAGGATTCCACAGCAGCCCAGCTCATCTACTCCACTGTCAAGGTTAGTTTCCATGATAGTTGGACTGCATGTTTTTGGGTTTTTTGTTTGGATGTTATATCTACCCTGAATGTATAACGTTTTATCTCAGGTGCAGTCTGGAAAACCCTGTTCCACCTCTAAACCCCCACATGCTCCCTGGACTGTCTCTGGGCAGTTTGGAATTTTCCTCCGGATCCCGTGTGTTGGCGAGGAGGGAGGTGGACGGCTTCTACTACTTGGGCACTGTTATACAGCCGGTTCAGGTTAAAAAACATTTTGACAAAAAAGTTCAAAATATCTACATCAGATAAAGATTTAACTTTGATCATTTCTATGAAGGATGTAAAATAAATTTGTCTCACTTGTTTGTTCTCAGGGAGGTTCAGGAGTTTGGTTGGTTGAGTTTGACCATCCAGGTCTGGGAGTTGCCTTCTCCCACAGGCAGGTGGTTTGTTCTCTGGACATGGTGAACCATAACATCAGGCACCAGACTTATTCTCTGCTGCCTGGGGATGCTGTGCTGTCGCCGTGGGAACCGAATCTGAGGAGATATGGACCAGGGAGAGTGATGTCCACCACAGAGCACAGAGTGGGTTTTTCAGGTACAATATGAAAAAAAAAGATTTTTACTCTTTGCATGTACCCTGTGCATGTATGTTTAATTCAGTGACACTAATCTTAAACATTTTTTACATTAGAAAAACAAACATGCACAATGACATGTGTGGATGGAATGTTAACTTAACGTTGTTAGGATTTGTGTTACTGAAAAAAGACACAAATGTAGTTATAATTTCTCATTAAATCATTCTGATGTCTTATTGATTTTTTTTTTTTTTTTTGGGGTGGAGGTATAAAGAGTCTGCAAGTGCTGATGTGGAACGGCTACACATCTCTGGTTCCTGACCACTTGGTTTTACCCATTTCATCGTTTCATTACGACAGAATAGTCAGACAGCTTCAGATTTGTACATCAGTGTCACATCAGAATCAGTATTGTAGTTGGCTTGGTGCTCGAAGCTCCCAGGCTTTTGCACTCTGTGATGACTGTTCGGCAGCTGCACCTTGCTGCTTTCCATCCACAAACCCCTGGAACTGCACAGTTAAAGCCAGTTGTAGGTCCAACCTTGGAGAAACGATTGGTTCTGGAAGAACAGAGGTGGACAAGCAGGGTGACTCCAAAGACACACCTGTAGTGTCAAACAACTCCGATGATGCGTCATCATCTTCTTCATCTCTTATTGAGGACAAGATTAGATCAATATTTCCTTCTTCTGTGAAACTGAGTAGTAAACAACTACAGCGCCCTCCCTGGAGATACTGGAAGAGAACAGGACCTGAGCCTCAGCACAGACAGCCAGGTCAGAAACACAAACACTGAAAGACTGACTGAACACATTATTAGTGATGATTACATTAATCTTTACAATAGGTATTTATAAAAAACATGCTATATATGGCTAATAGCTTATAATTTATTTATTGACCTAGGACATTCCTTTAAAAAACGTACTTCATTTTAAAATCCAATTGTGTTCATGTTAAAATACGTCAGCAACTCTTTTCTTTACAAATTGTAGGAATTATCACCATGAGTTAACACTAGACTTTTAACCACAGCCATTCAGTCACTGTAAAATAATAGATACAGTATTACAACGTATGATTCAATACTTTGACAAATGTAACCTGCAGGAGTTGTCTCGTTTTACTTTGCAGGTAGTGCAGTACCTCGGAGAACACCCTCACCTTCTACGTTAAACTTCCCAGTCCCACAGCTAAGCAACTCACTGTTTCAGCCATTAGCAGGCGCTAAAGAAAAGAGAACATTCCACCTCAAACCTCAACCACCTCTTCGACTGCGGAGTTTCTCTGCCAACAATGCAACAACTGTTTACTCATAACAAGTCAGCTGAAAGCTGTCTTTGGAAATCTGAGGACGTCACAAAAACATTAGAAAAATACATCTTTATTCAAAAGACATGATTAAAATGCTCTTAAAACACTAGTATGTAAAAGTGTGAGGACCTAAAGTCCACAAAATCCAACATTTTAGATATAGGTAATTTAAAAGTATATGGCTTCTCTTTGTAAAAACTTTGGTAAAAAAATGTAAACGCAGTATAAGAAGATCAATAAAATACAGTCACACATTCAAACACTGGTCTCTTCTATCTGGTCTTGTCAGAGGTTGAAGGTGATGTTGATACTTTCTCCTGCACTGACACTGATCAGTTGAGTCTGTGGCTGTGACTCCTGCGTGCTGGCAGTGATGGCATATGTTCCAGGTGAAACCTCAACATAGAAATCATCATCCCCTTCTGAAAAACTGACCTAAAAAAAACTCAGTTATTCCAAATAAATTTAAGTTCAGTCACATAGGGAATAAGTCTTCTAGATCTGGATCTCTTTTTTTTTTTCAAGGTAATCACCTGTTTCTTGGTTGGCACAGTAGGCCTCATTTTTACTGGAGCATGTTTCGAGTGGAACCTGGCCAAGTGTTTCCTCTCAAAATTGGTAGGTGCAGTGCAACAACCTGAGTCATAAAACTTCTGCAAACCAGAAAAAAAGTTCAAGTCATGAATTGCAGTGGTAAGAGCACATACACATCACACTGAGTATAACAACTAACAACTGATCACTAACCTTACACTGATGGGTGGTCTGGGCCATGAGGGAAGCCATGTTTGCAAAAGGATCGCTATACTCTGTGTAGTATCTCTGAAAAAGTAAAGTAGAAGAGAACAACATGTGAGCTAATATGAATCTTAGCTAAAGCTCCTTAAAAAACCAACTCTGCTTTTGCTAGTTTTTTGATTGAAAAGCATGTGGGCACCTTTGTATGATTGTGTGAGTCTTTATTTGGAGTATTTAAATTGCGGAATGCACCAGTGTTGGTCCAGTCTATGCTGCGCCTGGAGGCCCGCTCCAGTACTTCTAGGCCCAGATTAGCAGAGTGCCGCAGGGAAGACTCTAGCCAGGATTGTCTGGCCATAGACAAGTCCAAGAGAAACTATTATGGTCTTCACCTGCAAGAATGGAAAATAAAGATGATGACTAAATTTCACTCAAAAGGGCATAGAAAAACTTTCCACCAGTACAGACACTCAAAATGTTGATTCTAAACTGATGGCAAATCCCACGTACGAAAATAAAACGTTGATGTAAAAGTGAATAATGAGCAACTATGAAACCGGGCATATTCAGTGAACACTGCGCATGCTCCAAGATTAACTCCATACTGTGTTGACTTTTTGTTTATTCGCTTACTTCTGCCGAGTCAGTTATCCTCGAGTAAAACAAAAGAATAGAAAAGATTACGAGTAGCGATAACTTTCACAATTTAGCCAGAATTGTTTAATTTCTTTGGTGATGTGCGATAAAGCGCTTACTAGGTCAAATGGCGCGTTTAGGAACACGAGTGAAAATGCCATACAATAAGTTTAGTCAAAATATTGCGTCACTTCACATACCTTTGATGTGCGGTCTTCTCTCACATCACCTTTTCATATCCCTATACCTGCTGCTGATTTTATGTCAAGACTTCAGACTCCTTCTAACACAGCGGAATCTGTTTTCACATGACAGGAAATGCTGCGGCCTGAACAGCGCCCTCTCCGTTGAGAGTCCGAAATCAACTGGAAGTGACGAGCAAACTTCAATAAAACAATTCACTTCGAGAGTTACGCTTTTCGTTCAAGTCTTGCTTAATTTACGCGTATCTATATGTAAACCTAATGTGAAGATTTCGATAAGCTCAAGTTCTACCAGCGTATAGTTTTCAGTGCCAACATTGTTCTTTTTCTTCCCAAAAATACATTTTGGAAAACACTTCATGTGTGGAAAAATACTATTGCCATTGAAACATCTGATATGCACCACTTAAACGTGTTCAGGTGACATTAAACCAGTCTTTATTTCGGTATAATGTTAACTAACGAGCACCCTAAAGGCCTAATGCAAATATGTTGTATCAAAACATATTTGCATTAGGCCTTGTGTACTTGTTTTATTACTGTACTTGTGTTCCAAAATTTTGGTTAGACTTACCCATGGAATTTGCTAACTGCTGCTGCATATAACTAAATAAAAAGGGACAAAACTCAACTATATTCATTGACAAACAGGTGTAATTAATCTTTTTAAGCAAATTTGGATAAAATAAAACTGAGCTCTGCATATAGTGCTAATGCATATCACGCGTATAAATGTGTACATATTTTTTTAGTAAATATGAGCCATGAAAGACTAAATCAAGTTTAGGACCATACATTTTTGTCTTCAAACAGGAAAGAGACAACTAGCAACTCTCCCATTTATACATTTTATTTTTTCAAAAACACAATGAAGGAACATTATGCCATCAGCACACAGGCTCCACCCACTGCCTTGATTTTCTCCTCAGCCCGTCGGCTGAAGAATTTGGCCTTGACGATCACAGGCTGTTTGGGCAGTTTGCCTTTGCCCAGAACTTTGTAGTAGCCCTGTAAAATGAGATAAAGAAATAGGGAATAAAATCTTTTTCCCTTCAGTACCCAGCTAATTTAATGGTGAAAAAAAAAATCATTCTGTTAACCTATCAAGGCGATGTATTATTTGTATTAAAAATGACATTTTAAAATACTGTAATGTAAACAATCTTTGCTTGCAGACAATAAAAGCTAAAAAAAAGTATGAAATAACTTTATAATTACTACACCAAATAAAGCAGTTTCAAAACAATACATTTTAAGGACAAAAATCATAGATACAACTTCTGACTTGAGTTAACAAGTGTCTCTGTGGTGTGATTTGTTTGAGAAAAACATCAGATCAAATGCTATATCCTAAACTTGAGGATAAAAACAAAAAACAGATCTTAGAAATGATGTGACGAGGAGCTTGACTGATACAAAACAAAAGTTTTAATTTGTTTAAGGTGAAGTAAGACATTTCATACTAGTGACCAATACTTACAGCGCGCACGGCATCAATGATGGGGGCGGGGCCTTCGGGCTTCTTGCCATAGTTGACCCTGGTCTGCTCGCTCACCAGTGTCCACAGTTTGTCCAGGTTGATGGTGGGGCAATGGGTTGTATTCCTTTTCAGGTGGTAATGCCTCATACCCACTTTACCAAAGTAGCCTGGATGGCTTAAGACAAACAAATAATAGATGTAAGCTTCAGAACATGTAAACCAGAAATGTATACAACCTATAGTTGTTAAAAATCCAATTCAGTCTGAATCATTGAACGCATACCATGTAAAAGCGAAATACGCTAAACCACATGAACGAAATCTACCAACTGATCACAATTGAAGTAAAGGCCGATTTAACTGTAACTGCCCATGTGGGTGACAGGCCAACAAAAGAGCCAGTCGGTGAATAGGACCAGTCGTTTACTTTAAGAGAACTCAAGCACACCAAGACAATAATGTGTGTCAAGATGAGACTCTAGTCTCTACAACAATTAACTCAACACATACTGTTGCTATTACAACAGCAACAGTATGATAGGGTTGCTCAAATTATAGCAAAACTGCATGTGTAGGTTTCCCACCAAGCATGATGACAGACAACTGAACTGTTTTTTTTTTCTCCTTAGTCATTAACAATGTCAGAAATGTTTTTAGATCACAGTAAATTCTAAATGCAAAAGTACAGCTTAGGTTTAGGAAGGCATTCTGGAAGTTTGAAAGTAAGAGCTTACAATTTAACAGCTTACAGTCTAAAATAGTTTCTATATTTCTCACGACTGACACATTTACCAAAAAATCAGCAAGTGAGACCAAATGTTATGAATGTAATGTTTGACAGACACAGTGGGCACCTTAACATTTGCTTAGAATTAAAGCAGGTGTTTTGACAAGGCTCAAAAAGGCCCTTATTTATATGACAACAGCACAAATATAGTTAGTTAAACTGAAAAATGAAGATAAACAATAATCTCTGACCTAACACTCAAGGAGTTAACATATCAAAAGATAATAAACATATTGAAATGCACCATAAATGTCGCATAAGCATTTCAATCCAGTGTGCAACACATTACAAGTACTTACTATTTGTCAAAGTTGATTCTGTGGTGATGCATGCCACCAGCATTACCACGACCTCCAGGATGCTTTCTGTGTTTGCCTGTTGGAATACGAAACGTGTGTCAAGCGAGATTCTCAAATACGAAACTTACTACAATGAAAAGTTCTACGAACATAGGAAAATCAGATTGTTTATACTCACCAATACGACCATGTCCGTGACTAACATGTCCTCGGAGCTTCCTGGTCTTGGTCTTCTTGGTAGGCTGTTTGAAAGGTTTAGAAATTATACATTTGCAGTAACATCACATTCTTGGATGTCTGAGTATTCGCCACTGAGGACTAAAGCAGACTGCATTCAACCGACAACGCAAGACCAATTTTTTTAGCTAGAAAGCCAAAGACAGCAAATGCTGCTTATATTTGGACGAAGTTCTAATATATAATTTAAAGGAAATGGGAAACAATAACACGTCTCTACAATAAAACAAGCTCATCCGGTCCATCCTTGTCCCGGCTATGTACATGCTGCCATCAGAAGCTAATGCTACGATCGTTAGCCGCACTAATTTCAACGATAACATGGATTGGAAACACCACTCTCGTTTATATTTCCTCACCGAAAAAAATATACAACTAAGCCGTTCGTGACTCTTTGTATCTGCTTTAGCCAGAGAGAAACTAATCGTTAGCCGCTGCAACCCAAGGCCGGTCTATCACACAGTCAACCACTAACAAAACAGTGCACCGTGAACAAATAGCCATAATAGACCAAACTAACTGCCTCTAAAACAATTATGTACAATTAATAACGATCGACTGACACTTTTTATGCACATATGACCAAGGATGGCCACAGATTTTAGTCAACTTCAATACTCAGGGATTCGTGATAGCACCTACCATCTTGGAGGTTAGTTGAAAGAGGAACGGGATTTGAAAGTCACGCGATTTTGTGCGAGACTTGTCTTTTTCTATTTCGTGCAAGAAAACGAACGATTGTTGCCACCTATTGGACGGAATGATAATGACCCGCATTATTTAAAAATATCTCAAACTTGTTTAGGAATTATAATTGTTTTTTTGAGTCTTTCCCCTGTTTTTCACATCCTTAAAAAGAAATACGCACATATCATTTGTTCAGTTATAGCAATATGTCTCTATATACATGCTTTACCCCAAAATATACACCCACGTACAATATTGAAATATATATAAATATACTTTCCAAACACACAAATGCTTAATATGATTACTGTCTATCAATCAATAGATAGATAGATAGTAAAAAACACAAAAATAGGTAAAATACAGTAAAATACAAACATGAGTAGCAGCCCACTGACAATGAATATGAGAAATCTGAATAGGGGATGTTTGTAGATTAATAGGTTAGTAGATTAGTATAATACAATCACCTGCAGTGATATTTATTACTCCACAGACAGAAGTGACTCAGTGAGCAGACCTGAAGTGTCAGGAGACTGAGGCTGAGTCATATTTCCACCAATCACATTGTTCATGTACCTCTTGACACTGGACACGTGGCACTTCACCATCCTTCTCATCCTCAGCTCGCACTCACCTGAAGGCACTTTGAGACGTTTCTGTGAAGAACAAATCGCCGTTCACCACAAGTTCAGGTATGATGCAGTTGTATTGTTAACATCACTCATGTGTCTGTACTCTCTTTGCTGCTGCTTATTGTGTACAGGTTGCAATCATTAGTATTTCTAAAGGCTATTTCTGCTATCTCTGAGATACTTGATACCAAAAGTTAATCTTACAGCATCATCTCCTGCTTCTACTGTGGTTTTTCTCCCTTGTTTGTGGTCTGTTGAACACATTTTGCAAACTCCAGGTACAACAGGTGTATTGTATAATCTCATTCTTCTTTAGTCTTTTCTTATTTCCTTCTCCAGGGCTTGATTACCAAGAGATGGCAGCCCTACCCCATGAACACCATGGTAACTGTCCCCATAGGCGGGTGACCTTGTTGTCACAGGTAGGCAAGTGTATGGTATAGTGTTCACTGGGGGCCGTGTCTTCTGAGAAAAGTCTTCATCTAAAATCTGCAGCATCCCAGCAGTGTATATGACACAGATAAGGCCTTAATGAGCTGAGAGGGTAATTACAGAGGAATGTGTTGGAGAAGCTCAGAGGGCAGTTATCAATAAGGTATCATTGGATTGGTATTGGATGAAAACTGGTTTTCTTTTTTACACAGTGGTGCAGTGTTGGATTCTGGAAGATAAAAGAGGAGTTCTGCCGTGTATGCGACTGTAAAACCACAGCCTCATCACCTTCATCAGAAAACCAACAGACACAACCTGTTTTAACGTTACCAGCTTTACTTGAGAGAATAAGGTAAAATACATGCTCACCAGTCTCTGGTCCACCTGCAGTCTTCAACAGAACTGTTGGAAAATATGGATTTTATTTTTTGGGATATTTTGGCCTGTGACCCAAATGCAAACAAATATTTCCACAGGGTGCATCCAGAGGCCAAGAGGATTCTGGGTAATTCCTGCATACCTGTAGTGAGCCTGGAGCGTATGAACTTCCAGTCATTTCTATCTCTGCAGCCTGTGGTGTCTCTGGTGAGACTGCCATATCAAACACCAGCCGAGCTTCAGAGTGAGGTTTCTTTAAATCATCATCAGCAGAAGCAGCAGCAGGTAAACAGATTATGGTCTAAACATTTTCACAGGATACAAAAATAAACACAAGCATTATTCCATTATGATTGATGTTTTCATGTACAGTTTTTCTAATCTCTTCTT